ACCTCTGAATAGGCCCGGAGCGAAGGTGTTTGCGTCTGTGGAGGTGGCAGGGGGCTTCCCTGACAGACGAGGCTCCTCCGTGCCGTCCCGGCCACGTGGAGACGGAGCGTGGTGCCCTGGCCACCGTCCCAGCAAAGGTCCTCCCTGCCCTCGAGCCTTCCCAGCCGAGCTGTCCCTTGCACATGCTCCTGCCCCAATTGCAGGTTGTGAGGGGAGGACAGGTTCACAAAAGACTCCCGCCACTCTGTGCCAGCGTGGTGTGCGAGGACAGGTGCCCTGGGCACCTGGCTACTTGCCGCCGCTGATCGTGGCGCCTGCCCCCTGCCGAGACCGCATTCCCGGGTGTCGTCTGGGCACCTGGTGACCGACCTGGGTCCCTCCCGTCATCGAGGGGAGACCAGTCTGTCCGTGCTGGATACCGAGACCTGGGCTGGCCTTCCCTGCCGCCCTTTTGCCAGCGTGTAGCCGATGGACTCAGAGACCTGAGTCTCCTGTCCCTGCGTTAAGCACCGCATGCTCGCGGCCTGCCCGGGCCTGGGTCTCCGCCGTGGGAGCCAAGGGGCCTCTCACACCACGTGCCCGGTGTCTGAGCCCCCCATTCCCACAGCCCTGGGTCCTGCTGATTTGGGGAACTTTATCCAGAGCGTGTGATGCGTGAGCGCCCGCGCTGTGGGAGGCTGGAGCCGGGCAGGTGCGTGGCTCCCGTTGGTGCCGTCTCTGAGCAGGCGTGGGACCGTTCGTGCCTCGAGGCTGACCCACGGCAGTGACCTTTCTGTCCGAATCTGAACCGTGGGCTCGGCAAAAGCGGGGCCCAGTGACAGCAAAGAAGCCCTCAGGCCTGTCAACAGGGAGTCGGTGTAGGCCGGGCTCCTGGTCCCAGGCTGAGAAATGAGCTCGCTTACTGGGTGTTGGTTGATTTCAGAACGTCTGTGGCAGGCCGCTGCGTGCCAGGCGTTAGGCAGGGGTTGTGGACACAAACGCAGGTGTGGCCCCTCCGACGGAAACCGGAGGCAGGTGGGAGAAACAGGCTGCCCGGAGGACATCCCCACCCTGGTCTAAAGCGCAGCGGTGTCTGAGCACGCACAGCACAGGCTCCAGAGCAGGAGGGAGTGCGGGCATCTGGGGTCTCAGAACCCGGTGGGCGCGGAGAGGACCGAGGGGCCCGGCTGGGAGGGGAGTGCGGGACCTTGTGTTCTGTTCATTCCAGGAGCTGGGGAGGACCGGGCGACTCAGGTGAGCGGAGGCAGGGAGGACGCGTGATCGGACTCATACCCTGAGCAGCTTCCTCTGCCGGCAGGGTGAGCAGTGGGCCTGGAGGAGGGGTGGTGGTTGAAGGGGTGCGTGGGGAGGGACGTGGGGGGTCCAGCAGTGGCACATGTCAGCTTGGGGAAGAAGGAGGGGAGGGGTGTGTGCTGGTCTGGAGGTGTGGGTGTGGGGACAGGGGCATCGGTGCGGGGTAACAGGGGTCCAGACCCTTGTCAGCCGAGGTCGTGGCGCCCTCTGCTGGAAGGGCCCTCAGAGGCCCAGGGGGACTGGCCGGCGGGGCTCCGTGAGGTCCGCTGTGGCTCCCGTGTGGCTCCCCTGGCCGACCGCGGTCTCAGGAAGGGGTGTAGGGGCACGCCCTGGGCCACGAGGCCTGGAGAGCTGGGCTCGGCCCTTCCCCGGCCGCGGCTTCACCCCTGTGAGCCTCAGTCTCCCCGTCGGAGGAGCGAGGGCCGCAGGAGGAGTGTCACACAGGGAC